GGAGGACTCCCTTTAGTATTTCTTGTAATTTTGCTTTGTTTTTTGCAAATTCCCTAAACTTCTGTGTATCTGGAAATGTCCAAATATAGCCATCATATTTGAGAGACAGTTTTGCTGGATATATAACTCTTGGCTGGCAATTTTTTTCCTTCAAGGCTTTATATATGTCATCCCATTGCCTTCTTGACTGCATGGTTTCTGCTAAGTAGTCCGAGGTTAGTCTTATTGACTCTCCTTTGTAGATGACTTTTCATTCTTCCCTACCCGCTCTCAAAATTCTTTATCGTTGGTTTTGGCAAGTTTGATTATGTCTTGGTGACTTTCTTTTGGGATCTACCTTACTTGGGCTTTGATGAGCATCTTGGGTAGATACCTTCTCATCTTTCACGATATCAGGGAAGTTTTCTGCCAACAAATCTTCAGCAATTCTCTCTGTATTTTCTGTTATCCCCCCGTTCTGGTACTCCAATCACTCGTAGGTTACTCCTCTTGACAGTGTCCCTCATAATTCGTAGGGTTTCTTCATTTTTTTAAATTCTTTTATCTGATTTTTCCTCAAATAAGTTGGTGTCAAGTGCTTTATCTTCAATCATCACAAATTCTGACTGCCATTGCCTCAATTCTGCTACTATGACTTTCTGTTGTGTACTTCTGAAATTTTATTGTTAATCTTCTAGACTTCTGATCGCTGTCTCTCTATGGATTCTTGCAGCCTGTTAAATTTGTCATTATGCTCTTCTCTAATCTTCTTAAGTTCCTCTGTTGGTTTTTCTGTGTGTTCCTTGGATTGTTCTGCATTTTGCCTGATCTCTTGAAGAGTTCCGTATATTAATCTTTTGTATTCTACCTCCAATAATTCCAAGAAGTTCTCTTCCTCTGGAAAATTTCTTGATTGTTTCAGGAGCTTGCTGAAGCCATCACGGTCTGCCTCTTTATGTGATTTGACATTGACTGGTGTCTCTGAGCCATCAATAAGTTATTATATTTATTTTATGTTTGCTTACTGTGACCTAGCTTCTTGTTTTGTTTTGATATGCCCAAATAGGCTGCTCATGTGAGCTAGTATGATTATTGGTGCCTTTGAAGCTCTAATGTCCTGTCATCAGGTGGTTAGATCTGTTACTAGGTATTTGAGCCCAGGAGTCTGTTTACTTTTCCTGTATGGATTCATCTCAGGTGTCCAGGTGGTTGGGCACCAAGTGTGTGGTGCAGGCTATCACCTAGTCCTAGACAGGCAGGGGCGACTATGTAGGCACAGGTATCTGGCTGCAGTAGGGGGTCACATGCTGAGCAAGGCAGGGAGCTGATCGCATCCTGAGTGTCTGGGAGGAAAGTGTGTCCCTGTTCCCTAGAGCGTGTAGGTGGGTGGGTTTTGCAGCTGGACTATGAGCACCCAATTCCGTTGGCTGTAAGGACTGGGAGGCACCACTTAGTCTTGGACCCCTATCGTGGGTGGCTAGGTGGCGTGGATGGAGCCACCAGTCATCAGGCCCCTGATGTGGATAGGTGAAGACCCTGCTTAATGGGCAGAATCTGTCACGAATCTGCCACTCCACCATATAGCTGATACAGTGAAATTAGGCTTCAGGTATATACCCTGTTGTACTGTGGTAATGAGGGTCTACACTGTTGAAATGGGCCCACACAGGTCTATGCAGGGGTGAAAGGCATTCAAAGTCCATGGACCCCTTATGCCTGTGCCTAGGCAAAGGAGCTGTGTGAACACTGAGTTCTCGGCTTAGAGGAGCTGGCAGATTATTTTTTCCTGTTTCTTAATTTGTTCCCTCTCCAAGGCCGAGAGAATGGCTCGGGGTGTGTGATGGGTCTTACTTCTGGCCCAGGGGACTCAGCAATTGCTGAAGCCGGGCCGGGACCCGGTGCAGAGCGGGGAGGGGGCAGGTAAATCAGAGAGTGGTTTTTCCCAAAGAGGGTGTTTTTTGATCTGCGCGGTATGTCAGATGTATGTACTTATCTTTTGCCGAATGGGTGCTGCTTTTCACTGGTTCCGGTTGCCCGAGTAGACTCTCTGCCGTTTGGTCTCTCCCGATGTGGAAGATGCCTCCTGAGTGCCAGTGCTTGCCTCACTGCACACACCAGCCGATCCAGCCTGAAGGGTGCCAGCTCCCACTGGGTCAGGTCTGGCAACTCCTTGCGGCTTCCAAACCGTCTCTCCCTCCCCTTGCCACTCAGTCCAATTCCTCAACTCTGCCTTTGATGTTCAGGGCTCCTACATTGTCATATATAATCGATTCACTTGTTTTTTCGGGTCTTTGTTGTAAGAGGGACCACAGGATGTGTCTGACTACTCTGCCATCTTGGCCTTGCCTCCAAAATCACACATAATTCTAATACTGTTGACAGTTTCTTTTTTTGTATTTTCTTCCATCTATATAATGATTTTTCTAAACAAAATTGAAATGTTATTATAAATTATGATTTTTAAATTCATCCTCTGTTTTCTTTATAACTCCCTTGTGACAGACAGTCTATTTGTTTTTCAATGACCATCCTGTGAGCATTTTTCCAAATGCATCTCTATGATTCACTCTCTGACTGCTGGGCACTTAAACTGCACCCAAATTTTCTGTTATAAGTAATGATGAGACAGTTTTTCCCCCTAAAATAGTCAACCTGATAAAACCATCTTTTTAGAATGTAAATAAATGAAGTATAATGGAAGAACCCAACCAGAATAGGAAATGTTCATTAAATCTCAAAACTCCTCCAAGTCATGGCACAATGAATTCAATGAAGGTTTCATGTGGAGTATTATCTGTAGACTCCCTGGGTGGTGCAAACATTTAATGCACTCAGCCGCTAACCAAAAGTTGGGAGGTTCAAGTTCACCCACAGGCTCTTTGGAAGAAGGCTTGGCAATCTACTTCTGAAAAATCAGCCAGTGAAAACCTCATAGAGCACAGTTCTACCCTGATACACACAGGGTCAGAATCAACCTGAGGGCAACTGGTAACATTATCTCTAAATAAAAAGGAATTACTCAGCAAAAAAAAACAGTAAGTAAATACAACTTCAGGAGATAAATATTTAAGTTATTTTAAAAGCATAAGTTGTATAGTTTATATACTATTATCCAAATACTACCATCCACTTATTAAATCATGTTTCTGATGGAAAAATAATAAAATTGTAATTACTTAACGCTATTTTATAATTCATATTTTACTAATTCAAAACTGAATCTGTAGAGGTGAATGAGATACAATTAAGTACATAATGACATTAATTCTGAGACCTCGTAACATTATTAAATATAAAATATAAAAGAACTTCACAGGTAGGAAGACACTATGGATCAGTTCATATTCCAGTAGCAGAGATAAAAATATTTTTAGCAAATTACTAAACAGATCACACAACTAAAGGAAAAATGTGCATTCTTTTAACTAAATGGGCTGAAAATCCACATAATTCCAGGATAAATTGTCTCATTCATTTCCCTGAGAATCAAAAATGTTTCAAAAAACTTTTCATTGTAAAGATTGTATTAGAATATGCTTATAACTCTTGAATGTGGTTTTTAAATGAACAAAGAGAAACCCAGACAGATTATATGTCAGTTTGTAAGTATTTTAAAGAAACCTTACATAGTGGATCTTAAAAAATAAATTTTGACCCAATTGCATTTTTAATTTCATGTAATTTAAATACTTGTACTTAAACTGGTTCATTGATTCCAGTCCAATCCCAACCAGTTGTCATTTTAACTCTCTTTATCACACTGCCCTGTAGGAGATGGAATGTGTAGGTGTGAACTGGGTCCTTTCCTTTCCCGTTGCCCTTTTTCCCCTTCCTTTTGTCTCCTCACCCTGCTCCCTCTCTCTTTCATACTTTCCCCACTTGTACAGAGCATGGTTTGGACAACTGTGAGCCAGTGCTAATTTGCATGGTTTAATTATGTTATCTAAAAAGCCCAAAGCACTGGGGTACCTGATGGAAATACGAGCTGCTTTGCTCATACATCCACCACCACCACTAGCTGCCTTCCAGTCGACTGTGACTCACAGTGACCCCATGTGTGTCAGAGTAGAATTGTGCTCCACAGGGTTTTCAGTGGTTGATTTTTTTGGAAGTAGATTGCCAGGCCTTTCCTCTGAGAGGCCTCTAATGGACTCAAACTTCTAACCTTTTGGTTAGCAGCCAAGTGTGTTAACCATCTGCAGCACCCAGAGACTCCTTAGTTATACACACACACACACACACACTTCAGTTTCCCCTATAATAATCCTCCTGGAAAGGATGAAAACCATACTTAGCTAGCAATTTGAACGGGACAAGGCAACTCACCTTCAATCTTCACCTCGGCTTCAGCGTCTTTGCTTGTTTCTGAAGGGACAGGCTGAGGAGAATCTTGAAAAAAAAATTTCTAAAATGACATTCATTATTAAGTATTCTCCTCATGTTCCAACATTTTATGACTCCTGTACCAAAAAAGTAGCTTATTCTAAAGTTAACTTGCATTTTAAATATATTTCATGCTTAATAATCATAAAAGTAATGCTTAATTTTAAAAAGAGATAAGGGAAGATGAGAAACGTTCAGATATTGTCAAATAATATAGTTACCCACAGTAACGGGCACAGACTACCCTTCTGTTTAGGGTAACAGAATTTATGTGGTCATAGTGTTTTCCTGGTGTCATCAGGAATTACTAGGATAAAAAGTCATTTGCTTTCGTTAATAGTTCCCTGTCTTCCTGCCAGCAACCCCACGGTGACTCACAGGTTATTATTACACGGGGGCACAGTAGGTTTTTCTGGTGGACAAGGATTATGACACATAGATTCAGTCCTGTATTCAGACAGAAGATACAAATACATCCTAGTGAGAACAGAAACAGATTCCTGCCTGGCTGGAGATCATCTCACCCAACTCTCGTTCATTTTAGGAAGGTTTGTCAAAGATTACATTAACTGTTAGTAAAGGAAGAAAGAATAGAGCTCAAATTTGCTGTTTCGATCTTGTACTATGGTTGTGTTATGAAAGTTAAACCTCTGGGGGAACCTGGGTGAAGGTACATGGGATCTCTCCGTATTTTTTTGCAACTTCCTAAGAATCGACAATTATTTCAAAATAAAAAGTTAAAACAACAACAAAACCCCAACTAACTCAACTCTACCATAAATGGACTTCCCAATGTACTGTGATAATAAAAATCTCTTCAAAAATATTTTGAAGGCCAATAACCAATGAAATAATTCTGAGTCTCTATGGAACACCATTTCTACAACTGTCTTCTACAGATGTCATCTTCTTTCTAAATACTATCTATACATTAAAAAAAAAATGACCAAGCCCGGCTACCACCACTGACTGCTCTGACCAGGATCACAACAGAGGGTTCTGGACAGAGCTAGAGAAGGATGTAGAACAAAATTCTAACTCACAAAAAAAAAAAAAGACCAGATTTACTGGCCTAAAGGAGATTGGAGAAACCCTGAGAGTATGGCCCCCAGACACCCTTTTAGCTCAGTGGTGAAGTCATCTCTGAGGTTCACCGTTCAGCCAGGGAGTGGACAGCCCCATAAAACCAAATGGGACTAATGAGGCACAGCAGTCCAGGGACAAGGGCCAGAAGGCAGAAGGGGACAGGAAAGCTGGTGATAGGGAACCCAAGGTTGAGTAAGGATAGTATTGATGTGTTGTGAGGTTGTTAACCATTGTCATAGGGCAACATATGTACTAACTGTTAAATGAGAAACTATTTTGTTCTGTAAGCCTTCATCTAAAGTGAAAATAGGAGCACAACTGGAAGAGCGTAGTCGATGTCACTGAACTGTGCATGTAGAAATTTTTGAAATGGTGTATCTTTGGCTATGTATATTTTCACCAAAAAAAAAAGGTTGAGAAGGTAGAGGGTTGACATACTGTGGGGTTGTTAACCAATGTCATAAAACAATATGTGTACTACTGTTTCATGAGAAACTATTTGTTCTGTAAGCCTTCACCTGAAGAACAATTAAAAAAATAAATAAATAGACCAAAAAAAAAAAAGACCAAGCAATCAATATCTTAACAAGCTCTAACAAAGGGAAGTAAAATGGTTTGAAAGAGAAACAAACTTAAACTGAACTTGATAAGCTTACCACCACCTCACTCAAAGAAGGTCAAAGATTGAGTTGAAGAAAAAGAAAAGAGACAAAAAATAAAAGCAAGTTATGTAACGACAGAGTCAACTTGCTTTCTTGGCTTTCTGCAATTAAGTTCAAGGTGGTTAATTTTATGAGTGAATGAACAATTATAAAACTGGGCTCTATTACAGAAGAATCTCTTTCTTTGGGTGAATTCTATCAAAATTCTCATGGGTCAGAGAACTACATAAAGGGACTGTTAGAACCGTCCTCCCCAACAGAGAACTCCAGCCCCCAAACCAGGAAAGCTACTAAAGACAGCTGCAAACCAGCTCTCTGGAGAACATTCCTGACTTTGCGAAAAACACAAAATTGTTTTGGTGCTAAAATATACAATTCCTAAAGGCAAGATAATCTTGCCTGTAAATTGACACTGCTGTTTTATGTCTAGATTTGGAGAGGAGACCTCCTTTTTTAGTTTTATCTTGGACACATATCAATGGCCTTAAGAGCTCAGGCCTTCAATAGGGTACTCAAGATTTATACATTCATGGAGAGAAAGTATTATCAAATTTTACTTCTAACTCAATAATTTCCTAAGATATTATTCAACTTTGTTTTAAAGAATTTTGGTATGCCACATCAACAAGGCCAAATGAGCAAACAACACTGGTGAGTTTTCTTAGCGCCTAACTTCTGCATCCAGGCTCTTCCTGTAGCATCGCTCGCAGAATAGGATAGTCAGAGCTAGAGGGTCTTACTGCCACAGCGTAACACAAGGACTCCACTAGTTCTGCAAGAAGGCATGCCAGCAAGTCACTTCTTTCTCCAAACACAGGCGTTTAAAAGAGTATTTTCTCTGTAAAATACTGTGAACTAAAAAACATGAAATAAAATGCCTCATTTTTCTAACCTTCCATGGGTAACTCCATTTCTATCACTTCGTTGCTCGAGGAAGAATGATGGCTTCCTGAAAGGAAAAGAAACAGCATCTACAGTTACAAATATATTTAAAAAAATGTATAAATACAAATATATACAAAACATAAAAAAAACAAATATATTTAAAAAAAGAAATCATTGAATACAATGCAAACCATTCAAGACCCATACAAGAATGAAGATGAAATACTTTTACTCTTTCAAATAAAATTCAAACAAATGATCTTTCTGATTCCTTTTTTAACTCTTCTGCTTTTTAATTTTATTTTTACTTTGGAAATTTCAAACAAACACAAGAGCAGAGATCGTATAGTGAAGTCAGCCTGTCCACCCCCAGTGCCAACAATCAACTTCCAGAATCCTGTTTCATCTGTGCCCACCCTCCCACCCCCCTGGCTATTTAAAGTAAATTCTAAATATCATAGAATTAAATACGCAACTACTTCAGTATATGTCTAACTAAGAGATAAGGACTTTTACTTTAACATCACCACAATATCATGATTAAAAAACCAAAACCCCTTGTCCTCAAGTCGATTCTGACCCATAGCCACTCTACAGGACAGAGTAGAACTGACTACGGAAGCAGACTGCAGGAAGCAAGGGAGAGGGGCAGGGTGAGGTTGGCTGGTGGGTCTGAACCACCAACATTTCAGTTAAGCAGCCAAGTGCTTTAACCACTGTACCACCAGAGCTCCTTATATCATGATTGCCCCCCCTCCTCAAATTAACAATAATATTTATCACCTAGCCTGGTGGCACAGTAGTTAAGCATTCAGCTACTAACCAAAAGGTCAGTAGTTCAAATCCACCAGGCGCTCCTTGGAAACTCTATGGGGCAGCTCTACTCTGTCCTGCAGGGTCGCTATGAGTCGGAATCGACTCCACGGCGACTTAGCCGTTGTTCAAATTTCTCCAATTGTCTCATAAATATCTTTAAAAATTTTTATTTGGAAATAATTTTAAACTTACAGAAAAGCTGCAAAAGTAAAAATAGTAAAAGATCCATACACCCTTTATCCAGGTCACGTTATTAACATTTTATCCCGTTTCCTTTATCATTCGTTACCTGTCCATCCATCGAGACAGAGATGTATATATACATACTTTTTTTTTTTCCTGAACGATTTAGGGGAAAATTACATACTTCACGGCCCTTTATCCCTAAATACTTGAGTGACTATCTCCTAATAAGGACATTCTCTTATATAATCATGGTAAAGTTATAGAAATCAGGGAGCTTAACTCTGATATCATACTTTTACCTATTCTACCATTCATATTTCAATTCCATCAGTTGCCCTAACTTTGCCCCTTATAGCCCCCACTGTAGTGCAGGAAGCTGTCTGAAGTCAGCTATTGTATTTAGTTGTCATGTCTCGTTAATCGCCTTTAATCTGGAGCAGCTGCAGAGTTTTTCTTTGTCTCTCTTTTTCTCTTTTATAATAGTTTATTGTGTTTTCGGTGAAGGTTTACACAGCAGTGTAGGCTCCCATTCAACAATTTCTATGCAATTTACTCTGTCTTTTGTAACATTGACATTTTTTTAGAATAAGATCCCTGCTCGCCCTTTACCCCCACAATAGCATGTTCCTCATTTGGGGAACATGGAAGACTCCCTCCCCAAGCTGTGCCTGTCATCCGGAAGGAAACCTGAATGGTGCTGACATTTTCGCGTCCATGAACCTTAGGTGAGCCCAGGCAAAGTGTGTCTTGGCACAGCTTGTACTATGCATTCTCCATTCCCTGGGGCACTGGCAACAGGGCCCTTCGTGGTCAGAAGACTCATGGGGGTTTTGTGAGCTCTACTTGGGCCTAGGTGTGTGGGTGGGGTGGGGGACTGGGGGTTCTGAGAGGTTTGTGCTGCAGACAGAGCCTGAGGTTCCGGAGGCAGGGGAGGATCGGATTTCTGTATACAACACTCATGAGGTTCTGAGTTCTGTGGAACCTCAGCTGACATCACTGGGTGCTCCCCAAGCACCAGGCACCTTTCTAAGCTTTTCACATTTGCTAGCTTTATGGATTTTTCAGTGGTAGAATTCTCACCTTCCACGCAGGAGACCCAGGTTCAATTCCCAGCCAATACACCTCATGCACAGTCTCCACCCGTTTGTCGGTAAGGACTTAGGTGTTGTTACAATACTGAATGGGTTTCAGTGGAGCTTTCAGACTAAGGTGGACTCGGAAGAAAACCCAGTGGATCCCAACAGTCCAATCTGCAACTAATCCTGGCTATGGTGTAGGACCAGGCAGCATTTTGTTCCCTTGTGCATAGGGTCACCATGAATTGGGGGCTGACTTGATGGCAGTTAACAACAACAATGGATTTTAAAAGTGCTCCCTTGAGAACACAACAGAAAGTCCCTGATGGAGCAGAAGAAAAGTGGGGTGCGGAACTCAAATTCATGTAAAAAGACCAGACTTAATGGTTTCACTGAGATTGGAGGGACCCCAGAGAACGTGGCCCCAGACTCTCTGTTAGCCCAAAACTAAAACCATTCCCCAGGCCAACTCTTCACACAAAAATCAGACTGGACTGTGGGACATAAAATGATACTTGTGAAGAGTGTGCTTCTTAGCTCAAGTAGATACACGAGACTAAATGGGCCGCTCCTGTCTGGAGGTGAGATGAGAAGGCAGAGAGGGTCAGGAGCTGGTTGAATGGACACAGGAAATCTGGGGTAGAAAGGAAGAGTGTGCTGTCATTGTACAGGGAGAGCACCTAGGGTCACAAAACAATGTGCGTATTAATTTTTGTATGAGAGACTAACTTGAATTGTAAACTTTCACTTAAAGCACAACCACAAACAGTTCTCCCTTGCTTAAAGAATATATAAAGACACCAACACTAATACTTCAGTATGTGAATATTTAACCTAAATGGTTACAGAAACTTTAAGTGCCATGGGATAGTCTATGATGTCTGACCAGTTTTACCCGTTTTGGTATCAAGAAGGAAGTTGCCCAACTTAAGGAGTTCTACAGAGAGCATATCTTGAATAGTTCTGTCACTTCCAAGCCAAGCAGACAAAGAATAGTAATTATACATTTAACCTAAGTCTTTTTTCTTAAAGTAATGGAATTCTCTTTGGAAAGTATAATGACTGCAAGTACATCTGTGTAATCACTGATTTGTTTCCCTGCTGCCTCTGGGAGCAGAATCTACAAGTAGTCCATCCCCAATGTATACATCCTGATTGTCACCAAGGTCATTTCAGTTCAGAAATGTATTCTCGAGGAGTCAAGATGTCATGTTATTATGAGCACTTTTTCAGAACAACAGTACTTTACCGAGGTCACGCTGGCTCTTGGTTATGGACACACCTGTGAGGACTCGTGCAGACAAAGCCCCGAAGAAGAGGCAGCATCTCCCCGCGAGGCACTCTCACTGACTGAGAGCCCACAGTGGGCTACACTGCACACCAGGCTACAGCAGACACCGTGCAGCCGGGAGTCTGAGAAGACCGCTCCATGCGCACTGAGATGTCTGCCGCCTGTGCCCAGAACGTATGCAGGGTGGAACTTCACTAGAAGTCTACAGAGTCCAAAGGGATCTGCACAGAGGGATCAGCTCGTAGAAAACCCCAGTGCATCATTAGCCATCAGAGAGATGCAAATCAAAACCCCGATGAGATTACACCTCACCCTTGCAAAAATGGTACTCATAAAAAAAAAGACTGAGAACAACAAATGCCAGTGGGGGTGTGGGCAGATTGGAATTCGTATCCACTGCTGGTGGGATTGTAAAATGGTACAGCTGCTATGGAAAACGGTATGCCACTTCCTCCAAAAGCTAGAAATAGAGATACCTTATGATCCAGCAATCCCACTCCTAGGAATATATCCTAGAGAAGTAAGAGCTGTAACATGAATAGACATGTGCAAAGCCATGTTCACTGCAGCATTGTTCACAATAGCAAAAAGTGGAAGCAGCCTAAGTGCCCATCAAAGGATGAACTGATATACAAATCATGGTACATACATATAATGAAATACTACACGACTATAAAGAATGATGAGTTGTGAAACATAACATGGATGAATCTGGAGGACATTATACTGAATGAAATAAGCACAAAAGGACAAATATCGTATGATCCCATTTTTATAAAAAGACAGAAGTAGGCATATATACAGAAATCAATGTCCTTTGGTGGTTACCAGGGATGGGAGGGGGATGGAGGGGGACTCACTCTCTAGACAGTAGACACTTGTCAGTTTTGGTGATAGGAAAGGAAACACTGAATTTCAGTGAAATAAGCACAACCTAACCAAGGTGAATGATGGCACTAAGAAATACACAAGAATAAGGGACACTGTTGGTAAACGCCATAACACGTACAATTTGGCAAAAACAGCAGTTACAACCAAAAAATGCATGAGTGGTTGTTGTTTTTAGGTGTCGTCGAGTCAGTTCCGACTCATAGCAACCCCATGTACAACAGAATGAAACACTGCCCAGTCCTGTGCCAACCTCACAATCATGGTTATCCTTGAGCCCAATGTTGCAGCCACTGTGTCAATCCATCTCATTGAGGGTCGTCTTCTTCTTCACTGACCCTCTATTTTACTAAACATGATGTCCTTCTCCAGGGACTGATCCCTCCTGATAACATGTCCAAAGTATGTGAGGCGTAGTCTCGCCATCCTTGCCTCTAAGGAGCAATCTGGTTGTACTTTTTCCAAGACAGATTTGTTCGTTCTTCTGGCAGTCCATGGTATATTCAATATTCTTCACCAACACCATAATTCAAAGGTGTCAATTCTTCTTTGGTCTTCTTTATTCATCATCCAGCTTTCGCATGCCTATGAGGCGATTGAAAACACCATGGCTTGGGTCAGGTGCACCTTAATCTTCAAGGTGACATCTTTGCTTTTCAATACTTTAAAGAGGTCTTTTGCAGCAGATTTGCCCAATGCAATGTGTCAGGTGAGTGGTTACACAGGTAGATATGTATGCATATGTGTACAGGAAGGTTATTGGCGTATATAGGTGAGCATACATAGGTGTATTGTAGGCATATCTGTATACATGCCTGTGTGTGCTGTACATATATTCATATACATAATAAAGAACATAGGGGGCACAGTCATGGATACCTCCCAACATAACCAAAGACCGCACAGGGTTGGTTTACTGGGTTTGAAGGATTAGGACCATAGTTTCATGGGACATCTCAGTCAACTGGCACAACATAGCTTATAAAGATTTTGTTCTACATCTTAGTTTGGTAAGTAGCGTCTGGGGGCTTAAAAACTTGTGAGTGGCCATCTAACATATAACTATTGGTCTCTACTCGTCTGGAGCGAAAAAGAAGGAAGGAAACCGAAGGTTCAAAGAAGAAACTAGTCTACAGGACCAAGTGCCTACACAAACCATGGCCTCACCTATCCTGAGACTAGAAGAACTAGATGGTGGCCAGCTATCACTACCAACCGTTCTGACCAGAGCCACAAAAAATGGGAGAAAATTGTAGAACAAAACTCAAATTCTTAAAAATAGGCCAGACTTACCAGACTAGCAGAGGCTAGAGGAACCCCTGAGACTATCATCCTGAGATACCCTTTAAATTTTGTACTGAAACTACTCCCAGGGGTTACCTTTCAGCTAAATAACAGACTGGCTCATAAAATTAACATTATCACCTATGAGTCCTGTGCTCCTTTTAATTAAAACAACATCAAAAATCATCTATATGAGACCAAATGGCCAACATTTACCCTAAAGCAAAGATGAGAAGGTAGGGGGGAGGGAGGCAGGAAAGCTAGATTAATGGAAATGGAACAACTAGAACAGAAATAATGAAATGTTGACACAGTGTGGAAAATGTAACCAATGTCACTGAATAATATGTATAGAAATAGTTAAATGGGAATCTAATTTGCTGTGTAAATTTTCACCAAAAACTCAGTAAAATATTAAAAAAAAAAAATTCCAGTGTAAGGAGGATTGGGACATTTAAGGAATCACAGACTGGACAGTGTATCAGAAGAACTGAGTGAGGGTGACGGTATGGGGAGGTGGATGGAAGAGGAGGGGAGGTGGAAAGAGGGGTAGGAATGCCAGAGTGAACTGGGGCTCTACAGGTACTGGGGAGCCACAGATGGTGTGTGAGCAGGGGAGGGACATGGGCAGATCCCAGTTGTCAGAGAGCAATTCTAACAGGGGTGGGGGGTGTAGGATGGACTGAGATGGGAACTCCTAACCAGAGGGGAGCAGACTGGTCACAAGGGACAGTAACAGGCCAGGCAGGGTGGGAGGGGGAGGGCCTGGCCCAGGGCAGAGCCATGGCAACAGAAATGCTCACTGGTTGCTGCCTTTAGATTTTATGAAAAAAGTTTCTTAGTAAAAGTTACGGAGCAAATTCATAGAGACAGAAAGTAGATCAGAGGTGACCAGGGGCTGGGGGAGGGGCAACAGGGAGTTATTGCTTAACGGGTCTGAGCTTCTGCTCGGGGTGATGAAAACATTTTGGAAGCTGATAATGATGAAAATTGCACAACACTGTGAAAGTAACTTACTGCTGCTGAAATGTACACTTGGTAACAGTTAAGATGGCAAACTTTACACTGTATGGATTTTTGTTGGTGTTAGCTGCCGTTGAGTCGATTCTGACTCATGACGCGTGCGGAGCAGCTGCAGAGTCGCACGGCTCCATAGGGTCTTCAAGACTGTGTGTGATCTTTCAGAAGCACACTGCCAGGCCTGTGTCCCCAGGTGCTGCGGGGTGAGTTCCAACTGTCAACCTTGTAGTTGACAGCACTTAACTCTTCGTGCCACCCAGAGGACCTTATATGTATTTTATCACAATAAAATTTAAAAACAAAACATACAGAAGTGAAAAACAAAAACCTTATGGAGCTACTTAATCCTGCAGGAAATCCTGTAGGGAATTGTCGAAGTTAAGCTTCTGCAGGAAACAGCTGACACTGGATAAACTACACTCTGCCCGCATTCACAAGTTCGCTCAAGGATGGAGGAAGGGGCTGCAGGCTGCACACGGGTTAAAGGAGTAACAGCTGGCATCCAACAGGATGCTGGTCCTTTGTATGGGGGACTGAGCCACGAAATTGCACAGACCACTACCCATGCCACATTTTAAAAGTGTATGTATTTGGCTTTGGTGAGTGGTGTCTGGGGTCTTAAAAGCTAGTGACTGTCCATCTAAGATACATCAATTGGTCCCAACCACCTGGAGTAAAGGAGAATGAAGAAGACCATAGACACAAGGAAAATATTAGCCCAAGAGACAGAAAGGGTCACATAAACCAGAGACTCCATCAGCCTGAGACCGGAAGAACTAGACGGTATAGGGCTACCACCAATGACCGTCCTGACAGGGAACACCACAGAGAGTTCCTGACAGAGCAGGAGAAAAATGGGGTGCAGAACTCAAATTCTAGTAAAAAGACCAGACTGAATGGTTTGATTGAGACTGGAGGGACCCCAGAAGACATGGCCTCTGGACTCTCTGTTAGCCCAAAACTAAAACCATTCCTGAGGCCAACTCTTGAGACAAAGATGAGACTGGACTCTGGGACATAAAATGATACTCGTGAAGAGTGTGCTTCTTAGCTCAAGTAGATACACGAGACTAAATGGGCAGCTCCTGTCTGGAGGCGAGATGAGAAGGCAGAGAGGGTCAGGAGCTGGCTGAATGGACACGGAAAATCCAGGGTGGAAAGGAAGACTGTGCTGTCACAGTATAGGGAGAGCAACTAAGGTCACATAACAATGTCTGTATAAATTTTTGTATGAGAGACTAACTTGAATTGTAAACTTTCACTTAAAGTACAACAATAAAAAAAAAGTGTGTGTATTTGGTATTGTCTTCTGCTGCCCATTTAGCTTGAATGATGACAATGAGGCAACTCTTATTAAGGGTGGGCATTTCAGTTTCTTGACTCTTATCTCTGCCTCTTTTAACTTTTAATATTTTTCCAGCAACACAGGGGACAGGCTGAACAGGCACTAGCTAGGAGAGGGTTAGGGGGAAATATTTCAGGACACACAAATAAGAATACTGAATAGACAAACTCAAGTAAAATGCACTAGGAAACATACAGGTTTTCACGTTTGCCTAAGAGAATATGGGATTAGGCTCAACAGAATCTGTTTTATAACTAAAATTATTCACTCTAAATGGCAGTCGCTAGATGCTAAGAAAAATACATGAAATTCTTATTAATCTTTGCCTGTTTTTCAGATGAGTGGTAAATAAAAATTTCCATCACACATAACTTTTGGAAAGAACATTATTATAAAACAGTTATTACCTTGCAAATTATATTGATAGTAATTAGGATCTTCCGATTCTTTCTTGACTGACACAGCTGCTGCCTTCAGTGAAATTCCTTGGAATGCAAAGGAAATTATAAAATGATGTGTCAGGTCTAAGGCACCAACAGAGAAATATCACCAGCTAAATAACCTCCAGGTTCTGTTTTGATCACAGAGCAACATTACAATCAGCAAAAGAACTTGTAGTTCACTTGCTTTGAACAAGTTTGGCTTATGCGCCACACAACATCTGGCCGTGTATACGTCTGTGGTCCCATAAGACTGTAATAGAGTTCAGAAATCCTGATGGAAGAACTGGAAGTAGCAGACATAACCAGAGTTGTCATTGCAAGAGCTTTCCACACGCAACACATGTATCTTATGCCTTTTGTATACAAAGCGACTGCGCTGCCAGGTATAATGGTACAGCAAACTGTAGAGGGAGGTTATTTGCCCAGCAAATAATATGGTGTTTGCGCAATGTCCGAATCACATAATGTCCCATTGCATAGACCGTACTGTGGACGTTAAGTGATGCATGACCGTATAGAAGGAAAGAAGGAAGGAGGGAGGGTGGGAGAAACAGAGGCAGGGGGAGAGAGAGGGAAGGTTCTAGCTCCCAGTTCTGGTCCCAGATTTCAGAATCTTTCCCTTTCAAGATGGCTGAATATACACATGCATTTACCTGAAATACTGTAAATATTCTTCTGGAATGGAATGAAATGATTCCAAAGCCTGGGGGAAACTACATCAGTAAAACCAAAAGCTCTCAAAAGTGAAGAGTGTGGGAGACTGCAAAAATTAGCCACAAGTTTCTCCCATCCCAGTTTGCACACCCCTTTGCAGTGTGGCTTTCCCACAAACCCTTTTCTGGGGGTGCAGTCTATCTCTCCACCCTTTGAAGCTGGGCCTGGCCATGTGACTCACTTTGGTCAATGGGGCGTTAGCTAATGGGATGGAAGCAGGAGCTCGAAGAGTGTTTGCTGCACCAATACTCATTGCTTCTGGAACCTCATCACCATGGGAACAAGCCTGGGCCAGCCTCCTGGAGGGTGAGACCACAAGGGGAGGGAGGCCCCAGGATGGCCACCACCCAGCTGAGCTGTCCCAGACCACCCAAAGGATTGTGAAAAAGAATCATTGTTATAAGCCATTAAATTCGGGGGTACTTTTATACACTGGAGCCCTGGTGGCACAGCAGTTAAGAGCCCGGATGCTAACCAAAAGGTCGGCAGTTGGAATCCACCAGCTGCTCCTTAAAAACTCAAAATGGGGAAGTTCTACTCTGTCCTACGGGGTCACTATGAGTCAGAATCGACTCAACAGCAATGGGTATGGGTTTTTATACAGCAACAGAAAACCGATACAAAACTTCACATATAATTTAACCATTAATGTTAATAATAGTGTTATGGATTGAATTACACCCTCCCAAAATATGTGTTGTAAATCTTAACCTCTACACCTGTGGTTAAAATCCCATTTGGAAACGGGTGCCTTTGCTATGTTAATGAGGCAGGATTAGTGTAGGGTGTACTTCTTTTTCCCTTTTTTTTTAATTGTTGTAATTAAATGAAGTTTACATTTCAAGTTAGTCTCCCATACAAAATTTTATACATAAATTGTTATGTGACCCTAATTGCTCACCCCATTCTGCGACAGCACACTCCTTCTTTCCACCTGTGATTCCCCATGTCCATTCAACCAGCTCCTAACCCTCTCTGCCTTCCCATCTCACCTCTGGATAGAAGCTGCCCCTTTGGTCTCTTGTATCTACTTGACCAAGAGGCACACTCTTCACGAGTATTACTTTATGTCCCACAGTCCAGTCCAATCCCTGTCTGAAGAGTTGGCCTCAGAAATTGTTTTAGTTCTGGGCTGACAGAGAGTCCAGGGGCCATGCTTTCCGGGGTTCCTCCAGTCTCAGTCAGACCATTAAGTCTGGTCTTCTTACTAGAATTTGAGTTCTGTAGCCCATCTTTCTGCTGCTCCTTCGGAGACTCTCTGTTGTGTTCCCTGTCAGGGCATTCATTGGTGGTAGCTGGGTACCATCTAGTTCTTCGGTCTCAGGTAGTGTAGGGTGTATTTTGAGTCAATTTATTTTGAGAGATAAAAGAAATTAAACAAACAAGCAGAGCAGAGATGGGGAAGAGAGATGCCAAACCATGTGATGACTGCCCAGGAGCAGAAGCTGAAAAGAAGCAAGGACTTTCCCCAGAACCAACAGAGAAAGCCTTCCCCTAGAGCCAGCACCCTGACTGCAGACTTCTAGCCTCCTGAACTATGAGAAAATAAACTTCTGTTTGTTAAAGCCACCCACTTATGGTATTTCTGTTATAGTAGCACTGGAGAACTATGACAAATAGTAAAAGCAAAAATTGTGGCATAGCTCGGTATTCACCGTTTAGCATTAATTCACAAGTTCTGAGGTGTCTTCTGAAACTTCACAGCTCTGTTGGTGTAAGGACAGTGAGAATGGATATTTAAAAGCGTGACTGCCAAAAAGAAAAATTTGACAGAAGAACTGAGGAACAGAATGGACGTGGCTGATGGTCATATTCATGAAATGGAACATTAAGTTGAGGAAATAGCTTAGAATTATGGGATAAAAAGGTAATCTGATGGAAAAGATGTGTGGAAAATTGACACATTGAGGCCTATTACGCATAAAAAGAGAAAAATGTTATCCACGTGCTTGTTTGCAAATGGTTTCGAAGAATTTTCACCAAACTGTTGCACTGTCACCCCTAAAGTGCAGAGAGGATTTGAGGTGCAGAGGGAGAGTCAGGGGGTGGAGTTTTGAGAGGAGGCGTGAAAGTGCAAGGACGGACTTCACTCATCACCACATGGACCTCCAGTGCTTTTAAAATTTCAAGTGTGCACAACTTCTGTAATATTTCATAATAAATTTTTAATTAAAAGTACAAGTTCCAACTTGATCAGGCACTAATAACCCTATTAACAGGAACAGTTGATAAACATGCTCTTCCCATGTGCTTTCAAAGAAAAATTCCTTTTTTAATCCAGACAATTGAGACCAGATTTGACAGTGTAGAATGTGGAATTTGAAATGCTAATGAAAGCAGATTTACTTCAGCCTTTTCTCAAAAGAGAGAGTGAGAGAGAAAGAAAAATTCAAAACCATCTGAATTCTAATTCTATGCAGCAAGCGACTATACAAATATCACAAGAAATAAGACCATCTGATGATGCGTTCTCAGAAGCCTGCGGACAGCTGGAAGCCATCCACACCGCACCATGACACCCACAGTGGAAAGTCATGTTAATGACAAGCATATTTTTGTCCACTCTGTATCTCCAAAGAGAGCCCTCAACAAAGGAGGCCTGTTTAAGGAGGGACAAGAAACACTCACCCATCCCAACAGCTGGTGAGGAAGGTGGGAGGCCGTGGGGCTGTGGGGTGCACTAAGGACCCCCAGGAGACTCATGACTCCACACACCCACCCTCACTGTTTTCCCAGTTACTCAGAAGAGCCTGCTGCTTGGGGATTTTAAATTCTCTTGTGACTACCCAAGACACAGGCAGGATATATTTGGCTTTGAAAAGCATCCGGGGCTAAAATTAAACTGGCAAGAGTTTAAGGCATGCATTTTTGTGGATGAGATTAAGATTCTACAGCTGAATTCTGCAAAGCTGAAATTCTTGGCTCATTTCTTTCCACTACGTTGCGTTGGTTTTACTTAGAACCACTACAGTGGACAGGCGCCATGTTTTCCAGACTCTGTCATTTGAGATGGTGCTTCTATAAGCACATGCTAACATGTGGGTGTGAGGGACACAAGCAACAACTGTTGTGTGAAAGGAGGGTCCTTGGGGATAACAAAGGAGAAGGATGTGGGAAAGAGACCAGCTCAAAGCAGCCTCCATGTTCTGGGACAGGATGGGGGCTGTGAATGCCCTCCCCTAGGAGACTAGTCCGCTGGCACCCCTGGATCCCCTCCTGCGGGATCCTCCTAAGGCCTCTGGGCAAGGGATTCCAGAGGCAGAGGGGCAAACATGACACCACTCTGGAAGGGGGTGCAGAAATCATGCCTTGACTGCTTTAGGGAAGCTGGTGGTCTGCCTTCCATTCTACTCTCACTGAAGTTTCTATTTTCTCTTTTTCCATTTCTTTTCCTCTTACTACTGAATATTGTCGTTCGTTCAGATTAGCATGGATTTAATGGTAACTATATCTCGAACTGTTTATTTCATATTTCTAGGTTGCTTTGAAATCCCTGGGTGGTGTAGTTAACGTGCTCAGCTGCTAACAGAGAAGTTGGAGGTTCTAGTCCACCCAGAGGCAACTTGGAAGAAAGGCCTGGCAATCTACTTCTGAAAAATCGGCCACTGAAAACCCTAGAGAGCACAGCTCTATTCTGGCAAACATGGGGTTATCATCAGTAGGAAGCGACTTGACAGCCACTGGTTGCTGGTTTTTTGTAAGCATGATTAAATTCTAGTTTTACCTTCTTACAGCCAGTTTGTATTAATTTTTATCTTTTTGAGTTTTGGTTTTATGTATTTATTTATTTTAAATTTTCCAACTTTTCCATTTTTAATGCTTTTAATATTTTCTCATCCCTGGTTGAACACATGGCTCTTTAAATTCTGTTCCTATTCTCAACCTTTTAATATTTTTTCCCTAATTAATGTTGTTTCTCTTTTTTTCTGGAGTGAGGAGAGGCAGGGATAGAGGTCAACTACTTTTATCCATAAGGAGGGATTTTTTTCCATGATACATTTTCATAATAATGCATATATATTGTGGAACATCTAGAAATAATAGAAAACTGTAAGAAAGCAGTAAAATAAGACATATCCAAAATGAAAACACTGTGATATCCATAAATCAAGTTATAATTCCAAATGAGTATTTAAGACTTTTTATTCATTTCTCACTCGGAAGTTCTAATTTAAATATAATTAAAGTAATATTTCTTCTGCAAATATATCTACCTAATAACCCATAGCCATTGAGTCGATGCCGACTCATATCGACCCTATAGGACAGAGTAGAACTGCCCCATACGGTTTCCAAGGAGCTGGGTGGTGGAGTCAAACTGCCGACCCTTTGGTTAGCAGCCTGAGCTCTTAATTACTGCGCCACCAGGGCTCTATCTACCTAATAACACCTTTTCTTTCTTTCTTTTTTTACTGTACTTTAGATGAAGGTTTACAGAACAAACTTAGCTTCTCATTAAACAATTAGTACATACGTTGTTTTGTGACACTGGTTGCCAACCCTATGACATGTCAACACTCTCCCCTTCTTGAACTTGGGTTCCCTGTTACCAGCTTTCTGTTGTCTCCTGCCTTCTACTCCTTGCCTGGGTTGGTGTGCCCCTTTAGTCTACTTAATAACACCTTAACTAACAACAACCAGTTGCCATCGAGTCAACGCCGACTAATGGCGACCCCAAGTGTGTCAGTAGAACTGTGCTCCACAGAGTTTTCAATGGCTGATTTTTCAGGAGTAGATCTCCAGGCATTTTTTTCCAACACACCTCTGCGTGGACCAAAACCTCCAACCTTTTGGTTAGAAGCTGAGTGTGTTAAACGTTTGCAACACCCAGAGACTCCAATAATATCTTAGTACCTAGTATTTCCTGAATTAGAAGGTTCTCTTTTCTAGATATTTGAGTAAAATATGATTTTCTGGAGCCCTGGTGGCATAGTGGTTAAGAGTTTGGCTGCTACTTTGCCAAAGAAGACATTCGGGTGGCTAACAGACACATGAGGAAATGCAAGAAACCAAAAGAGACCTGCATAAGTGGAAAAACATACCTTGCTCATGAATAGGAAGACTAAACATTGTGAAAATGTCAATTCTACCCAAAGCGATCTACAGATACAATGCGATCCTGATCCAAATTCAACAACATTTTTTAATGAGATGGAAAAACAAATCACCAACTTCATATGGAAAGGGAAGAGGCCCCGGGTAAGTAAAGCATTACTGAAGAAGAACAACACAATGGGAGACCTCACACTCCCTGATTTTAGAACCTATTATACTGCCACGATAGTCGAAAGAGCCTGGTACTGGTACAACAACAGATACATAGACCAATGGAACAGAACTGAGAATCCAGACATATTCCTCCACCTGTGAGCAGCTGATATTTGACAAAGGCCCCAAATCCATTAACTAGGGAAAAGAGCATCTCTTCAACAAATGGTGATGACATAACTGAATATCGACCTGCAAAAAAATGAAACAAGACCCATACCTTACACCATGCACAAAAACTAACTCAAAATGGATCAAAGACCTAAATATAAAATCTAAAACAATAAAGATCATGGAAGAAAAAAATAGAGACAATGCTAGGAGTCCTAATACATGGCATAAACAGAATACAAACCACAAGTAACAATGCACAAACACCAGAAGAGAAACTAGGTAACTGGGAGTTCCTGGAAATCAAACACTTATGCTCATCAGAAGACTTCACCAAAAGAGTAAAAAGACAACCTACAGACTGGGAAAAAATTTTTAGCTACGACAAATCCGATCAGCATCTAATATCTGAAATCTACAAGATACTGCAAATCCTCAACAACAAAAAGACAACCCAATTAGAAAATGGACAAAGGACATTAAGGTGGCTACCAGACACATGAGAAAATGCTCACGATCATTAGCCATTAGAGAAATGCAGATCAAAACTACAATGAGATATCATCTCACCCCAAAAAGGCTAGTATTAATCCAAAAAACACAAAATAGTAAATGTTGGAGAGGTTGTGGAGAGACTGGAATACTTATACACTGTTGGTGGGAATGTAAAATGGTACAACCACTTTGGAAATCGATTTAGTGCTTCCTTAAAAAGCTAGAAATAGAAGTGTCATACGATTCAGCAATCCCACTCCTTGCAAAATATCCTAGAGAAATAAGAACCATCACATGAATAGACACATGCACACCCATGTTCAACGCAGCACTGTTCACGATAGCAAAAAGATAGAAACAACCTAGGTGCTCATCAACAGACGAAGGGATAAACAAATTATGGTATATTCACACAATGGAATACTATGCAATGATAAAGAACAATGATGAATCCGTGCAACATCTTATAACATGGAGGAATTTGGAAGGCATTATGATGAGTGAATTTAGTCAGTCACATAAGAACAAATATTGTATAAGACCACTATTATAAGAACTCAAGAAAAGGTTTAAACACAGAAGAAAACATTCTTCGATGGTTACGAGGGTGGGGAGGGAGGGAGAGGGGTATTCACTAACTAGATAGTAGGAATTATCTTAGGTGAAGGGAAGGACAACACACACTACAGGGAAGTCAGCACAACTGAACTAAATCTAAAGCTAAGAAGTTTCCTGAATACAACCAAATACTTCTAGGGACAGAGTAGCAGGGGCAGGGGTCTGGGGACCATGGTTTCAGGGGACATCCAGGTCAACTGGCATAACAAAGTTTATTAAGAAAATGTTCTTCATCCCATTTTGATGACTGGTATCTGCGGTCTTAAAAGCTTGCAAGCGACCATCTAAGATGCATCAATTGGTCCCAACCCACCTGTAGCAAAGGACAATGAAGAACACCAAAGACACAAGGAAAGTATTAGCCTAAGAGACACAAAGGGCCACATGAACCAGAGACTTCATCAGTCTGAGACCAGAAGAACTAGATGGTGCCTGGCTATCACCAATGACCACCCTGACAGGGAACACCACAGACAGTCCTTGACGGATCAGGAGAAAAGTGGGGTGCAGAACTCAAATTCTAGTAAAAAGACCAGACTTCATGGTTTGACTGAGACTGGAGGGCCCCTGGAAGACATGGCCCCTGGACTCTCTGTTAGCCTGGAACTAAAACCATTCCTGAAGCCAACTCTTCAGACAAAGATTGGACTGGATTATGAGACAAAAAATGATACTCGTGAAGAGTGTGCTTCTTAGCTTAAATAGACACATGAGAGTAAATAGGCAGCTCCTGTCCAGAGGCGAGATAAGAAGGCAGAGAGAGTCAGGATCTGGTTGAATGGACATGGGAAATCCGGGGTGGAAAGAAAGAATGTGCTGTCACAGTACAGGGAGAGCAACTAGGGTCACATAACAATGTATGTATAAACTTTTGTATGAGAGACTAACTTGAATTGTAAACTTTCACTTAAAGCACAACAATATAAACAAACAAAAAAATAAAGACTTTGGCTGCTAACCAAAAGGTCAGCAGTTTGAATCCACCAGCTGCTCCTTGGAAACCCTATAGGGCAGTTTTCTCTGTCCTATAGGATCACTATGAATTAACAGGTTCTCTTTTCTAGATATTTGAGTAAAATATAATTTTCTATAGGTAAGGCCCCAGTTGAGGGAAATTAGTCTCCTAGTTTCCATTCTTTTTATTAAGACAAAAGTAAGGAATCAAATGACTGCCTACTCAGTACATGATTCTAAAAGTACATACCAGACTCTTCTGTGGGTTCAGTTTTCACTTTGATGGGGCCACAGCTGAAAGGAGAAGGGAACCCTGGTCACGAAGGGAAGGTGAGAGCAACCACAGGTACCAGACACACTGCATTCAAAGGCCTGGATGGATGCCCAGGCCATTGATTACTCCTCAAAACTGCCTCAACATTAACATTAACTTTCTGAATGATCTGCTACAAAATTAAAGTTGTTAACCGGATATAGTCTTATAACTTTAAGCATCCTTCTGAATAAAGAATGCAGAACAAAGGAAGAAAGAATAAGGTATTAACCCTTCATACTGCACTTTAAATGATACAAGGCACTAGGCTGCCTTTTCACAGTCTAAAAACTAACTCTGTGGTTCGATGTGGATTTTATTCTTTGTGCCATTGGAAGTGTCCTTTACCTTTCACCTGGCAACACGGCTGCTCTTTCAGCATCTGTCACCATCACATGAGTACCTATACAGGAATAAAAGGACACATACGAGCTTCCTTTAGTACCTTGAAATAGGACTAACATTCCACAGACCTATAAATTGAAAGCACATGCAGAGAAAACTGAACTCCTGGCTCCAGGTCACCGTGGAAGAGTAGTGGGGAAGGATACCAGCCGCCATGCTCTGGGGTGAGATGGGGAGTGGGGTGAAGAGCAGACTGGGGCCAGAAGGCGTGGGTGTGGACACTAGCCTCACTACTAAACCTCCTCGTGCCTCAGTTTCCTCATCAGAAAATGGTGGTTGTGTGAGGATTAATTAATACGTGCCAAGTGCTTCAGGACAGTGCCTGGGTATAGTAGGCACTTGCTAAGTGTCGGCTGCTACTATTACTATAATCATTGTTATTATTCTACAATGAAGACACAAATGACCAGGGCATAATCACCTGGTCACCTGCCATCTGCCTCCCTCTAACCCCCTCTTCAGTACGTGCTGGAGGAGTACAGAGATGCACAGCTGCTCCAGAAACGAGCTCAGCCTGTAATCAGCTAGTGGCGCAGAAGCACCGAGCCACGGTGTGGCGTCACCCCCACATCCCGGTCGTGCTCCTTGGAACCATGCCACCCCCCACACCTGTGCCGTCTCGTCACTCCAACTGCACAGGCTCAATGTGACACCCTCTTTTGCTCCAGTCTTTCATGAACAGCTATGACCCAAGGCTTCCAACTACATTCCAGAACAATCATTTGAGAAAATAAGAGATGGGCACAGGCGGATCCCTAAATGCTTCTGGTAAAATTATTTTTTTGTCTCTTCATCATAATTGGAGCTCTGATGGTGCAGTGGTTAACAGCGTGGCTGCTAACCAAAAGGTCAGGAGTTCGACTCCACCAGCTGCTCCTTGGAAACCCTATGGGGCAGTTCTACTCTGTCCTACAGGATCGCTATGAGTTGGAATCAACTCAATGGCAATGGGTTTGGTTTGGGTTTTTTTCATCATAATTTAAAGAGCAGGTGCGGGTTCTGGTTTTTACTTTTTTTTACTAAAGCTTTCAACACTGGTGGCTCACCCACAGCCTCTTCCACATGGCCCATCACAGGGAGTGGGCTTCCTGGGAGAATCAGGGTGCTGAGACCCTGCTAATCACAAAGGCCACTCCTACTGGAAACCCTTCTCACCAACAATTCTAAGCCCTCCCTGGGGACTCTGGACACTTCCTCAGCCATCCTGAGAGCACCACAGGCCACCCTGGCTCTCCATGAGTCTCAGAAGCCCGGTACGGGCACACAGCCCAGACCCCTGCCCAAACCCAACAATGCCTAGCCTGTGGCTGGAAGTTCATGGCCTAAAGTGACTCCCCGTATCCATGAGCTCCTGTAGACGAGGGCAAGGTGAGCCTCGCCGTCCCCCATGGAGGACACAGAGGCTCACTGGCATTCAAGCTGGAGGGGGGCTGTCTGCCCCTGGACTGCATGTCCCCTACAAATGTCGTGATCCCCCACCCTGGAATGTCAAGGGTTGTCTCTTCAATGAAGTGAAAGCAAAGAATAAAAAAGTTCTACAATGTACAAAGCTTGCATTTTAATTAAGGAAAGCAGAATTGGTTTAGCAACTAAGTGTCGCCATGAGGCAGAAGCCTCACTTACCTAGCTGATCTGCTGGGTCCAGGAGAAGTCTGTAAGAAGAAAAGCAGTAGATTACCCCACATGAAAACTTAAAAAGACAGTATTAAACACCCGAATCCACCCCATGGTGCTGTGGTGCTGGGAGTTCTGCCACTGGTATTTCAAATACCAACAGCGTCACCCGTGGTGGACAGGTTTCAGTAGAGCTTTCAGTCTAAGACAGACTAGGAAGAAAAGCCTGGCGATCTACTTCTGAAAATCAGCCAATGAAAACCTTATGGATCACAACAGAACACTGTATGACTCACTTGTTTCGGACATGCCATCAGGAGGGATCCAGTACCAGAGGAGGACACCATGTTTGGTGAAGTAGAGGGCCAGTGAGGGTGAGGGAGACCCTTGGTGAGATGGATTGACATAATAACCACAACAATGGATTTGAACATGCTGGCGACTATGAGGGTGACGCAGGACTGGGCAACACTTTGTTCTGCTGTACATGAAACTGTCATGAGTCGGAGTCGACTCGATGGCAGCTATCTGTCTATCTAAACATCTGAATAGTGAATTTCTAAATATAACAGGACGTAGTTAAAAAATAATTAAAATTAAGCAGCCAGTTTGTCTTTAAATGAACTAACGGTTATGAGGGGAGGGATGATGCCACCTATTTGTGATGAATGAAATCCTGGCTTTGTTCTCCAAAATCCACTTCAGGGTTGCAAGATCATAATTCTCAGGGTGTTTAAAGGCAACTCCTTCCGGTAGCCCCTGCACTACCACAGCCGACTGGTCTCTCAGCATCTTCTCATATGGAACAGGTACCATTGCTGTTGTGCCCAAGGCTTTACCTAGAAAAAGAGGTAAAATGCCTTTAAGTGCTATGAGCATAAAACTCTACCAGTCAGCTTAACTGAACACAATAAACAAATACATGTGGTGACACTGGGCTCTGAAGATATATTGAACACATAAATTTATTCCTCTATATCCAAAGTTAATAAAATTCCCAACCAAAGGGTCAAAATAGAAAATTTATACATGGTTTCATTTTAAAACATTCACATAAAAGGGGAAAATAATAGGTTTCTTGCCCCATTCTCTTGTAGGTTGTACAATTTGGGGCATCGCCCCAGCATCCTCAGAACTGCAGAAGAGCCCCCGCTTGGTCACCTAGGCTGCAGTCGAAAGAGGATGGGAGCCCCCCACCCAGGCTTAACCGTCGTGACATCACACCACACAAGTTAGGGCAACACTCCTGTGGAAGAAGTTATGAAGTCAACATGGTGTCATGTTAGCCTGTTTGTCTACACTGGCTAACAAGACCTGAGGTGCTGGAGCCCCATTTCTCATAGAAAAGTGTAGCCTGAGACCCAAAATACCCCATGCTGGGGGTCCCCAAAGTCAAATGCTCACAGGGATCTGCAGGTTACATAAAATGTGTGAAGCTGTCTAGGAATGGTGCAACAGGCTCTAGGATGCTAAGGCGCTTATATTGTAATTAAGTATAACACCTGCACGGTTATTCAGTTATCCAGCTTTTAAAAGTACAGAGTCGGTGAAAGCCAGGGAAACCCTCAATGAGACGGACTGACACAACAGCCCCAGCGATGGACTCCAACAGACCAGCGATCGTGAAGATGCTGCAGGACAGGACCACGTTTCCTTCTGTTATACCAAAGGTGGCCACGAGGTGGAACTGACTCAATGGCAGCTAACAACGAGAGCTTTTAAAAACACTTGGCTCTGTGTAGGTAAAAACACTGTGTAGGTACTTTTTTTTAAATCCCTTTCTGAATGCTGTAGAAATGCACAGGTAGGTGGAGAGATGAGTGAGGGTGAGGGTGGTGACTGAACCAACAGTGGACATCTTCAATAATTCCACTGGCCTTGGTGTGGGACTTCTTACAGTGAGTGGAAGCAAGGAATGAAGTCAGGTCAGTATGGAAGACTCGATGGATCCGACGAGATCAAGCTGTCTTCTGGAAGAACATTAATCTGGTACTTAAGAATTGGATGTTCACTTTATGAGAAGATGGATTTTAAAATTTCAGAAACATTTTAAACAGTTACACCAGTAAAATCATCCGCAACCCTGTCCTGCTCCTCAATAAGCTATTTAGAGAATCAGTGCCGAACATGCATTATACCGTAACAAAAGCAGAAATGGTCTTCGACTGCTTTTCGGAGGATTTCGGTCTCTCCCGAGTCGGCATGCATTCCGTTCTCGGGGTAGGGAGGTTTCGTCTCCTGCAGTCCTTCGGCAACGCCTGTGAATGGATGATTGGCACAAAGTCAATATCCGCCCATTTGTACAGTACACCTCCTTCATTCTGTTTCTGCTACTGAAAGGAAAAGAGAAAAAAAGGAATACACATGAAACAAGATCTTTTAATTAAAAAAAAAAAAAAAGATTTGTGATAAGCAGGATAATACGAGATACAGTGATCATCCCTAGAATAAATCTATTGCTAAAGAACTACAAAGAATTCAACACACGGGGAAATGTTAGAAGTTTATTTTTTTAATGTATTTTATTTTTTGTGTTGAGAATGTACACAGCAAAACATATACCAATTCAACAATTTCTACATGTACAATTCAGTGACACTGATTACACTGTCACCGAGTTGCGCAACCATTCTCACCCTCCTTTTCCGAACTGTTCCTCCCCCATTAACATAAACTCATTGCCCCCTAAGCTTCTTACCCAGCCTTTCAAGTTGCTGTTGTGAATTTGATCCCATACAGATAGTTCTTAAAAGAGCACACTGCTCAAGGCAGACATTCGTTACTAGTTAAGCTAAACTATCATCTGGTTTAAAGAAGACCTCAGGGGATATTTTTGGTTTAAGGTTTAAAGATTATCTTAGGGCAGCAGTTTTGGCGACACAGGAAATATTAGAAGCTTTAAAGGAAATTATTTTATAACAAAATCTTATTAGCTATACAGTTGAAAAGTAACAACAATTGCATTGGAAGACCTTCACCACTGAACACATTCAAGCCCCTCCCCTCTGCCATCAACTGCTACTCCAAAAGTTTTGAAACTGACTGTATTAATCGGAAATCAGACAAATCACACAGTAATTTGAACCGGAAAATCCAGTGAAACCTGTGAGAGATGGAACTCAACAGGGCTGCCTTGTTTTTCTGACTCTCACAAGTTTTCTGCCTTCAACAGGGTGCAGTCTTACTTCTCTATTGCTCTCTATTAAGAATCCTACCTCCTAAACACCCAGAAAGGGTTTCTTTTCTACTTTATAGAAAATAAACTAAACCATTTTTTATGATTTGCATGTTTATTCAAATTATGTACAGATATGTGCATATACTATTCAAACAAAGATACAGGTAAAATTCAGTTTTTAATAAAAACATCTAACATCAACTGTTCAGTTTGTTTTGGTTTTTGATGAAATTACTGAAACAAATTTCTAAGTCCGTAGCCTTATTGAAAACTCTTGGTCTCCTTTAACTTTCAAATTCCTTCAAAGCCTTTATGTAGCTGAAAACCTGCGTTTGACTTAAAGGCTCCAGCTCTTCTAACAGTAGGTCTTCATCATCTTCATCTTTAGATTGCCAGTCCACAATTTCTTGCAGGTTTATATCGTCCATTTCTGTGGCAATTTCTTTGTCGACATCAGTGTAAGATGTGGCAGTGACCCTATTTTCTGAAACACCACTATAAATGTCATTCATTGCGCCCTGAATCTGCATATGTTATTGGGCTCGGTAACGGTTTCGTTCTGTACACTATCGCCACAACCAAATCAGAAACCGCAGTTCTAAAAACATTTTTTTAAAATTTCTTCCTTAATCATTTTGGTTGATTGCTTAAGAAATGCAATTGCATCAAGGACATCGATTTTCCCCAAAATCTCCAATGCCATTTTGCACATCCCAATGTTGGCAATCATCTTCTGAAGCAATAGCTTCCTGTAGTTTACTTATATTCTGGATAAGCCATTATCCAGAGGTTGTAGGACTGACATCGCAGATGGTAGGAAAAAAATAATTTAATATTGGACAAGGACAGTGACCTATGACAAGTAGCACTGTGAACAAAGAATGCTTCGATTTTGTTTTTTCATGCTATTGTTTATTTAAAAACTCTTCGTAAATTGCTCCCGTCAGTCAAGCTTTTTCATTCCATTTCCATTCTACTGAAAGCTGATTAATTTTCATATTCTTGAAGCAGCATGGTTTCTCGTTCTTTCCAGTTACCCATGGTTTCTCAAATGTCCCATCCGCTAACGTGGTCAAGAGGACAGGAAGCCATTCTTTTGAAAACTGACCCCATGAGCATTTTTCCCCTTTGATTTTCAGGGTCCTGTTAGGCTTTGCCCTGTAAAGTAGAAAAGTCTCATCAGTGTCTGCAATGTTTTTAGGATCATACCCCTGATGATTTTTAATTCTGTGAATCAGTTTTGAACGTCTTTGTCAATCTCATTAGACTCCCCACAAGCTACATTGCAAGTGATTCCATGGTTTTTTTTTTTGAAGCTGTGAAGCTACCTGTTAGACACTGAGAATCCATCAACTTTTAAAACTTTCCCGCTTCCTCTGCCTTTGATTGCAGGATAGGTCCTGAAATGGGAACATTTTTTGGTTGATGCTTGAAGAAACCACTCCGAAACAGCTTTGCTGGTTTCTGCGAAATTTACATCCCTTCCTTTCTTGACAGTGACATTGGTGCTGCTCAGTTATTTTTCAATTATTTTAGCCTTTTCCCTCATAACTGAATACATCTGCGTTTTGCCGCACTTAATTACAGCCTCCTTGACATTCTTTTTCTCTTCAGTTAATATTTTGACAACGTCAAATTTTTTCTTTCAGAGATAAATTTCTTACTCTCTTGTCCATGGCTGTGAAGGAATAAACTTTCTTAAAAAGGAAACAGAAAGACTATAAGTTCTTATAAAAATTAAGGAACCTATGATCTTCTCAAAAGAAAGAAAAAAATGAAAACTATCAACATCATTATATGATGAAAGTTAGCACACTTCAGGAAAATATTTAAGAAAAAGAACTACATGAGAAGAATGTCTTTGCTTTTGTACACACATTGAATGTGTTAAGTGAGGAAATGCTTCTCTATCTTTTGGGCAAAACAAGAAATTTTGAAGGAAAGAATTTCAAGGAAACGAAGGAGTGGGTTTTGAAAACTATAATAACGTATCAAAACTACAAATAGCTAAAGCGAACTAAAAATTAAGGGTAAGGATAAAAGATCACAAGACAAGAAAAAAAGTGTGCTCTGCTAGCTTTTAATGAAAATAAAGGAATTTATTAGTATCTCTTACCTTCTTCCAAACTAATGGATGGTGTTCCTCGCTAGAAACAATTAACAGGCAAAAATGTAAATACAGGTACTCAGAGAACAGTAGTGATGGGCAGTGTGCCACGCACGCGCAGTAACAACGCAAAACGAAGTGGAAGGCTGAGCCTTTGTCTCTGACTCTTGTCAACTCCTGCAACTATTTTTGGCTTTAGCATCTGTACTTCCTTGTATTTGGGCTGCAATACCAAGCACATCTTGCAGGTTATGGCTTTCAGAGAATATTTATTAAGCTGAAGTAATTGTTTTAGTGGAAAATATTTGCGTTTTCCTTCTCTGACAGGTTTCCACTTTACACCAGTTCTGGCTTTTGCAGGTTTTACTGTTAAAGACTCACTACCCGGTAACAAGGGATCAACCACCAAGGGGTAATGAGGACTCTAACGAATTAACAGGGAGTGGCCACTACTGGTAGGGCTGAGGCAGAGCACCCGAGGAGGAACAAGTCTGGAAGAGGCTGCTCAACACCCCAGGGATGAGATCCAGACTTCTCTGGAGAGGACGTGGCCGCAGTCTATGGGATGGCCGACAAGTCTCCTGAGGTGTACAAGCTGGGGCTGGCAATCCAGGGCCGGCCCTCTGGGGTGCCAGTGGAAATCACTGACAAGCTGCCCACTGGGTGGCTACTGCAAGGAAACTGCCCCTTGGGGTGCTGGCACAACTGTCTGGAAGTGATCTAGGAGGAGGATGCCAAGAGAACTTGCTGGGGGCTGCTTGCTCTCTGGGGCACTGGCGGAAGTCCCTGGGAAACTGCCTTTGGGTATGGTGTTGCTGAAATTCACTCAGAAGCCTCCTTCTGGGACTTCTGTGAGACTTGCTGGGAAGCTGGCTGGAGCACCAGTGGAAATGACTGCGAAGCTGCATGTGGTAGGGTGTCACTGAAATTCACTGGAGGTGAGCACCACTGGGCATCCCAAACACTGCTGGTCATCATGTGTCACAGGCACGAGCAGGAGAGCCCAACAGGACCAGAAGAAAAAAGCCCCTTCCTCCTCCTGTGTCCCTCCTGAGGCCTCTCCTGACGAAGGTAATCACTGTGCCAGCTGCCAAAGGAGAAATGTTTAGAGGCTCCAATCTCACAAAGCAGGGGTGAGATGGTATATCTCACTGTAGTTTTGATTTGCATCTCTCTAAGGGCCAATGGCTACAACGATGGGCTCAAGCATAGCAACAGTTGTGAGGACGGCGCAGGACTGGGCAATGTTTTGTTCTGTTTTACATAGGGTCACTACGAGTCAGAAGCAACTCGATGGCATCCAACGACGACAAATGGCTAATGAATGTGAACACCTTTTCATGTACTTGTTGGCCACCTGAATGTCCTGTTTGGTGAAGTGTCTGTTCATGTCATTTGCCCATTTTTTTGGCTAGATTGTCTTTTTGTTGTTGAGCTGTTGAAGTTTTCTGTATATTTTAGAGATTAGACCCTTATCAGATACGTAGCTGCCAAAGATTTTTTCCCAGCCTGTAGGTTCTGTTTTTATTCCCTTGCTGAAGTCATTTTTTGATGAACATTAAGTATTTAATTTTTGGGTGGTCTCAGTTATCTAATTTATCTTCTGTCATTCCAGCATTTTTAGTTTTGTTTGACAGACTATTTATTCTGAAAATTAGGTCCCCTAGTTTTGATCCTATGTTATCTTCCAGGAACTTCACAGTTCTAGCTTTAACATTTAGGTCTTTGATCCATTTTGAGTTAGTTTTTGTGCATGTTGTGAGATATGGATCCTGATTCATTTTTCTGCATAAGGACATCAAGTTTTCTCAGCACTGTTTGTTGAAGAGACTGCTTCTTCCCCATTGATAATGTGCTTTTGATGCCATTACACAATGATTTTTCCTTCTCTCCAAAACAATTTCTAAGGAAACAAACATCACATATTCAAGAATCACATCCAGCATTCCAGTCCCAGTAATGGTAGAGAAGACTGTTTCTGCCAATAACAATGATTAGCAATGGACAAGATTTTAAAATCAACTATTTGGTTTTTTTTTGTTTTTGCTTTTTAAATTTTTTTTTATTATACTTTAGATGAAGGTTTACAGAACAAATAGTTTCTCATTAAACAGTTAGTACACATGTTGTTTTATGACATTGGTTAACAACACCACAACATGTCAACACTCTCTCTTCTAGACCTTGGGTTCCCTATTACCAGCTTTTCTGTCCCCTCCTGCCTTCTAGACCTTGTCCCTGGGCTGTTGTGGCCCACTAGCCTCGTTTTGTTTTATGGGCCTGTCTAATCTTTGGCTGAAGGGTGAACCTCGGGAGTGACTTCATTACTGAGCTAAAAGGGTGTCCGGGGGTCATACTCTCGGGGTTTCTCCAGTCTCTGTCAGGCCAGTAAGTCTGGTCTTTTTCTGTGAGTTAGAATTTTGTTCTACATTTTTCTCCAGCTCTGTCTGGGACCCTCTGTTGTGATCCCTGTCAGAGCAGTAAAATCAACTATTTGAAAGCATCAGAGAACACCAGAAACAGACAGACACCGGAGGGAATGCTGCACTTGACAGGAGGGACGCCTGCATCCCGGGTAACATCTACATTTAACTGGCTTTTTCCCTGTGGGGGCTTCTTAGTTTCTGTGGTACACGGGAGACTAGAGCTCAGACATAAAGCACAGTCGTAGTAGAGTGAGGAAGCCTATATCAGAGGTGGGAACTGAGACAGTAGCTGGAAATTGAGGGGGAAAGTCCTAGAAAAGAGCAAGCCACAGAGGTGGGAGCCCGAATGTTGTGTTGTTAGCCCCTGTCGAGTTGGCCCATGTCTCATGCACAACAGAACAAAACGCTACCCTTGTGATCCACAGGATTTTAACTGGCTGATCTTTGGAAGTAGATCACCAGGCCTTTCTTCCTTAGTCCATCTTGTCTAGAAGTTCCCCAGAGACCTGCTCAGCATCATAGCAACACACAAGCCTGGATGGTAGCTGTGCATGAGATGTATTAGCCAGGAATCAAACCTGGGTCTTCCACATGGAAGGCGAGAATTCAACCACTGAACCACCGCTCCCCAGGGAGCCCCAATACCTTCATATAAATTTCCCTCAAATTCTTGACTGACCCTTCAACTGCAAGCACAGGGTGAGATACTAAGGAAAAGCAACATTTGGAAGCTAAAGAGCTAAGCAGAGATTTAAATCGTCGTGTGATGCTGGGAAGACAGAGTTTGAAATTCAAGTCCTGCCAAGTTAAAGAAGCTTGATAAACACCTCATGAGCCCCCAGAAAGGGCACACCTTAGGAGTAGGGCTACGTTCTAAGACTAAGGGTGATGCCCTAGGATACAAGGCGAAATCAGCTTAGACTGGTCTTAACAAGATACACCATGCAATATTAATCACAAGAAAGCTGATGTGGCTTTGGACAAAGTAGGCTTCAAGATGAGGAGCATAACTAGACGCAAAGAAGAATATTTCATAAGGAAAAAAGGGTCAATTTACTAGGAAGACATTACAGTTTTAAAGATGTATGTATCTAATAACATAGCTTCAACATACATGAAGCAAAAATACTAACTAAAAGGAGGGACAAATACACAATATATTTGGAGATTTTAACACTCTTCTATCAGTAATTGATAGAACAAGCAGAAAGTACACAGATGAAGTGAATAACATCATTTCAAACCATGTGCTAAGCCATAAAATAAGTATCAATAAATTGAGAAGGACTGAAATCATATGGAGTATGTTTTTAGGCTACAACAGGATTAAAGTAGAAATAACTAAGAACAAAAACAAAAAATCCCCAAAGACTGACCTAAAATCCCCAAAGATCCAGAAATTAAACAACATGCTTCAAAGTAACCCATGGGTCAAAAAAGAAATTACTTGGGATATTAGGAGATATTGTGAACTAAAAGATAACGAAAACACAACCTATCAAAATCTGTAAGATGTAGCTAAAGCAGAGCCTGGAGGGAAAATTATAACCTTAAATGAATATAATAGAAAAAAAATAAAGTCAATGATGTACCAAATCAAGAAGCTAGAAAAGAAAAGCAATTAAACTGAAAGAAAATATAAGGAAAGTCATAAAGATAAGAGCAAAAATAAATGACAAAGAAAATAGATAAACAATAGAGAAAATCAACCAAGCCACAAGTTGGTTCATTGGGAAGATAAATAAAATGGATGAATCCCTTGAAAGACTGATCAAGGAAAAGAAGAAAACACAAACTATCAACATCAGAAACAAAAAAAGAGATATCAATATAGATCCTATGGACAGACGTTAAAATAATAAAGGAAATATTATAAAGCATTTTATGCCAACAACGTTGACAACCTGGATGAAATAAACAAATAACCTGAAAAATAAAGTTTAGTGAAATGGACAGAAGAAGACATAGAAAATATGAGGAACCCTATATCTGAAAAGTTAGCATGCAACTACAAAACTTAAAATAGTACATCTGCAATTAAATTTCATAAAGGAGCCCTGGTGGTGCAGTGGTTAAGCACTACGCTGCTAACCAAAAGGTTGTCAGTTCGAACCCACCAATTGCAAGAGAAACATGTAGTGATCTGCTCCCATAAAGATTACAGCCTTGGAAATGCCACTGGGCAGTTCTACTCTGTCCTATAGGGTCACTGCCAGCCGGAATTGACTCGACAGCACACTACAACATGCACCTTCACACCCTCTAACAAATCTTTTAGTTTTTTCTTTTTAACCCTTTCTTGGTTCCAGGGAATACTAAATTGCTAACTCAATACCTGGTAGAAAATTCACAGCGGTAGGGCTAATCACCACAGAAGGTGTAGGTTTTATGCTCAAGAGCAATGTCCCTCACTGAGTTCCACGATCATTTATGCTCATTAATGCTGCCTCTTGGACTCTCGTATCACACATTGGCATACTGAAGGAAATGAAAGTCCCACAGTAAAAAAAAGTGAAAAAGGTTTAATTGCATAATGGTTAACAGAGGGTAACACCCGTTTCTTGACATACCTAACAAGACCTGAAAGAGTTTTCCCTTTCCTCTGGGAAGGACTAAAATAAGAGTACTTTCTAAAATGTGGGTTTATTTTAGGAATTAAAGGCAATTTTTTCTATGTTCTTCAGACATATTCCACAAAACCAGAGTATAGCTGAAGACAGAGGACAAAATACACTGACCATTTTTCTTGGACTCTTCAGAGTTAAGTAGCTATTCATTTTGTCTGCCTAGTCAAAGGAGATACGTCAGGACCATTTTTAGCATAATGCTCATGATATCTTAGAAGAAAATATTACATAAATCTTGCCCTCAAACATTTCGATTTAAGATTTATGAAATGCAAAGAATAAAATTATTAACACCTACAGTATTTTGCAAAATCTTTCTGAAAATCTGTCCTGGCGTTGACAAAGGCGCATCCTTTCTCGGTCCCAACGACAAACACGTCTGTTTCATACATTGCGATGCAGGCCACTTCAGCCTTGGACTTGGCCAGTTCCTTACACTGGAATAGAAAGAAAAAGGATGCAATATATACAAGGGCAGGTTCAAATTTTGTGGGGCCTGAGATGCCTGCTTTAAGAAAAGAATACAAAATTTTACACAAAAGGAACATTTATTTAAAATGAGAAAAAAAAAAACCAAAAAATAAATTTATGAAGCAAATATCATAAATATCATAAAACCTAGAGACGAACATAAGAGTTTTATTAACTGCCGGACATGCCTCTCCAACATGCCTTTTTTCCTACATTGTTGGCTGCAGACTCTTTCATCGCCTCTTCACAGGACAACAGTCTTATAATATCATTTTCTATGGAGAGAATAAAAGATAATTTACTATTTCCTCTAGCATGGCTGACTGATGGCAAGCAAAGAGACAGACAGATAGTTGCCATAGAGTTAACTCGAGTCACGGTGTCTTTACGTACAACAGAACGAAATGTTGCCTGGTCCGGCGTCACCCTCACAATCGCCGGCATGTTCCAGTCCATCATTGCGGCAACTATGCCAATCCATCTCACCAAGGGTCTCCCTTGCCTTTGCTGGCCCTCCATTTCACCAAACATAATGTTCTCCTCCAGCAGCTGATCCTTCCTGATGACTTGTCGAAAGCAATTGAGTTAGACAATGTTCTGTTATGATCCATAAGGTTTTCACTGGCTGATTTTCAGAAGTATATCATGTCTTTCTTCTTAGTCTGTCTTAGTCTGGAAGCTCCACTGAAACCTGTCCACCATGGGTGACCCTTCTGGTATTTCAAATACCATGGCATAGCTTCCAGCATCACAACAACCTTTTTGATGGTTAAAAAAAAAAAACAAAAAACAAAACCTGTTGCCATCTGTCATGGATTGAATTATGTCCCCCCAAAAATGTGTGTATCAACTTGGCTAGGTCATGATTCCCAGTATTGTATGATTGTCTACTATTTTATCTTCTGATGTGATTTCCCTGTATGTTATAAATTCTATCACTATGATGTAATAAGATGGATTAGCAGCAGTTATACTGATGAGGTCTACAAGACTAGGTAGTGTCTTAAGCCAATCTCTTTTGAGACATAAAAGAGAGAAGCGAGCAGAGAGACATGGGGACCTCATACCACCAAGCAAGCAGTGCCAGGAGCAGAGCATGTCCTTTGGACTTGAGGTTCCTGCACTGAGATGCTCCCAGAACAAGGGAAGACTGATGACAAGGACCTTCCTCCAGAGCTGACAGAGAAAGCATTCCTTGGACTGATGCCCTGAATTTGGACTTGTAGCCTACTAGACTGTGAGAGAATAAACTTCTCTTTGTTAAAGCCATCCACTTGTGGTATTTCTGTTATATCAGCACCAGATGCCTAAGATACTGTTGAGTCGATTCTGACTCATAATGACCCTATAGGACAGAGTAGAACTGGGGGTTTCCAAGGCTGTAATCTTTCTGGAAGCAGACTGCCACACCTTTCTCCTGTGCAGCAGCTGGTGGATTTGAACTGCTGACCTTTCAGTTAGCAGCCGAGTGTTTAACCACGGTGTAACCAGGATGCATAAAACATGCAAATTCACACACAGGCACAATTGCTGTCTATGGCAGTGCTACAGCTTTATGTCTTACAGACACAAGAATTCTGATAAATTCTATTTTGTGTAATTACTGTCACAAATTTAAAAGAATGCTTAGTGTACTTACAAATGTATGTGCTGCATTATTGAGTACATTCCTGACCAGGGAGAACTTGTGTTTTGACAAGGCATCAATGAGAACCAAATCCTCTGTTTACAATTTCACACCTTTAATGACTGGAAGAATTTTCTACAAATAGCTTCTGGCTCTGTACATTTAAAACCTTTTTTCTCCTCTACAACTCCTACTTCTGAAACTGAGCTTATAGGACACGTGCGCACCTCGGTACGACCTCGGGCCTTGATGTCATGTTACCAGGTGAGTAGACACAGTGGACTGTGGGTGCATTCCTGGAAGCCATCCTGCACCAGGAAGCCTAGCAATAACTCACCTATGCACAGAAATAACAGCAAGCCACATAACGCATACTACTACACTACAACTAAATGTATCCCCAATTCAGCTTCTCTTTATCGAGATCCCAAAGATGCCAACGTCCACTCCATCCACACTGACACAGGGGACTGTGGTAGGCAGAATAATGGCCCCTCAACCAAAACCTGCTGCTGTCAAGTCGATTCATAGAGAGTAGAACTGCCCCATGAGGTTTCCAAGGCTGTAATCTTTATGGAAGCAGACTGCCACATCTTTCTCCTGCAAAGCAGCTGGTAGGTTCAAATCGCCAACCTTTTGGTTATATGCCGAGGACTTAACCACTGCACCACCACAGCCCCTAATGCCCCCCACCTTGCAGCTGTCCAAATCCTAATCTCCAGAACCTATGAATATGTTACCTTATGTACCTTATATAGCAAAAGGGATTTACAGATGTGATTAAATTAAGGATCTTTAGATGAGAAGATTATCCTGGATTATCTGGGTGGGTTCCATGAAATCATAACAGTCCTTATAAACAAAACAGGGAGGCAAAGGAAGAGATGTGACAATGGATAAGAGGTCAGCAGTGCCACCGCTGAAAGGGCCATGAGCCAAGGGATGTGGGCAGCCTCTAGAAGCTGGAAAGGCAAGGCATGGATTTTCCCCCAGAGCCTCCAGAAGAAACGCAGCCCTGATGATGCAGCCTTGAGTTTAGCTCCATAATAACACTCATTTTCTGACTTCTGACCTATAGAAAGCCCATTGCTGTCGAGTCAATTCCCACTCATAGCAACCCTATAGGACAGAGTAGAACTGCCCCATAAGGTTTCCAAGAAGCAGCTGGTGAATTCAAACTGTCGACCTTTTGGTTAGCAGCCGAGCTCTTAACCACTGTGCCACCAGGGCTCCCTGACCTATAGAACTGTAAGATAATAAACTTGTGCTGTTTTATGCCACTAAGTTTGTGGTGATGTGTGGTTAAAAAAATACATATATAAATATATACTATATGATAGTAGTACTGCCTGAAGTCCTCTAACTTCAGGGGCTGGTGAGAGAATCACCATCAGCACAAAGCTTATTTAGAGGTGGAGGTCAGACATACCTCCACTCTCCAACCTTTTTACCAATTCTGACAACAACTGTCCCTCCCACGGCACTCTCTACTTCTCTGCTGGGTTCAATAATCCATTGCAGTGGCCACAGAGAACTCACAGACCATACTTACAGTTAAGTGGTTTATTAAGGGACTAACAGGGCACAACTAGGGATCAGGATCACAGGCTACAACTCAGGATCAGGATCAGGAAGCATGTAGGCAAAGTCTGGAAGGCTCCCCCGAAGTGGAGAGCACAACCCTCCCTTCTTCAGTGCAGGACAGCTCTCTCAGCTCCTCTCAGCTGTGCAAGCAAACAGGCCCTTCTTTCTGCTGTGTGTGCCCACTCTCAGCTCTACAGGACTCCCTGCAGCCCCCTCAGGACAGGCCTTTTGGCTGTGCACACCCCCTCTCAACTGTGAAGGCTTTTCTGCCTTTGGTCTCCCTCCTGTTGGCCTCTATACTACTAACTGACCCAGCTCGTAGCCAGTGTAGCAGCTTTGTTCAGCTCTCTTAGCTACATTTCTTGCAGCAAGTTTTTGCCATCACCACCAACTCTGCTGCAGGGCCCCTTCCTGTTACAGCCCTTGACCTGTGTTACAGCTTTTAGCAGGTTCCTTGCCTCCTCTCTCTTTGCTACTTCTCTTGTCTTGCCCCTCTTAGCTTTTCCCCTCCTTGTTTCCTTCTGAAACCTCTGTGGGGTTGGCTGCATATATAAGCAAACTCCTTGTCAATTTCAAGGCATGGTCCTCCCAAAAGAGCCATGAACTGACAATCCCCTTGGTGGACCATAGTATATTCTATAGTCACTTCATTTGCATAGTCTAATGTATATTGACCAATCCCTGCAAGGTGCATAAAATAGACTAATCACAGGGCAGGCTGAAGTTCAGGGCCAGACAAAAAGTATCAAACCAACAAGTTGTTTACAGCTTACCCAGAAAATGTTAATCAACCTGGACAAAAGCAATAAGCCCTCTTGTGTAGAAAACTAGGGCAAAGGTAACTCCATAGGGCTTAGGGGAAAAAAATCACTCAAGCTATTTTTCCAAAGAACCAAGGCAAAAGGACATAAAGGAACTCATTTCAATATACATACACACACACACACACACACATACACACACACACACATATAAAACCAAAAAAACCAAACCCATTGCCATTGAGTTGACATTAAAGTTGTATGTCAACTTGGCTGGGCCAGGATTCTCACTGGTTTGGAAGTTATGATGTAGTTTGGCAGTTGTATAATGATACAATCACCTCCATGATGAGATTTGATATAACGTGATCACCTCCATGATGGGATCTGCTGTAAGTAGCCAATCAGTTGAAAGTGAGTTTCCTTGGGGGTGTGGCCTACATCCAATACAGGTAGACTTTTTGGCAAAGCTCATGGGCTTTTGCTTGCTCTGGATCCTGCAGCTGGCTCCTATTCATCTGACCTCCGGTTCTTGGGACTTGAGCTAGCAGCTTACCTGCTGTCTTGCCTGCTGATCTTGGGATTTGTCAGTCTTCGCAGCCTGTGAGCCAGAGTATTCTGTCTGAGTGCTGATCCTGGGTTCATCAGCCCCTGTGGCTATGTGAATCAGGAGAAGCCTCCAACCTGACGCACAGACTTGAGGCATTCCAGCCTCCACAACCGCGTGAGCCATTTCCTTAATATAAATCTCTGTCTATACATATTTACATGCCTTGCTGTTTTTGCTTCTCTAGAGAACTCAGCCTAAGAAACCACCTTACACAGGTGCTTTCACAGGTTTATATATATATATATAAAACAAAACATTTGCCATTTCAACATTTTTTGCACGTACGACTCATGTAATTACATTAATTGCATTCATTGCTTTCATCATGTTGTGCAAACATCACCACTATCTATTTCAAATTTTTTTCATCACTTTTAACAGAAA